ATTGTGTGAACGTGACCTGAACTCGCCGACCACAGCAGAGAGCAAATGTGTCAGAAATGCCCACCTGTGAGACCCAGGCCTTGCCTCGGGCTTTGGAGAGGCCGGTTTGTGGTTTAAGGACAAGCCGGGGACAGGGTTCCTCAGGAGTGACTCATCACTGGAGGCTCAGGCGGCTGCAAAAGTCAGAAAGGGCAGAGGACAATCTGGGGGTGACTCCTGGCCCGCCTGACATGCGAGGGTCATGGTTTCTCCTGTGCTCGTTGAGGTCTGTATGGGGCATGGTAAAGAAGTCCCTCGGAAGCAGAGGACCCGGAGCTGGCAGAAGCAATGACAGAGGGAATAGACTGCACCTCACCAGCCTCCCCGCACCCGGCTTCCTTGCCTCCACCCACACTGCAAGATGGAGCACACGGGCAGGCATTTGCACACACAACCCCTCAGCGCCCCAGACACTGCAACCCCTGTCCTGGGAGCCAGGGCCGCCCTGGCCTGGGGGTACAGACGGGCAGGCAAGGGGCACACTTGACACCCGTCAAGCAAGACTTGCCGAAGTAGGAGGCTCAGGAGTGAGGTGGGGCAAACACTGGCACAGGAGGCCCAGGCCCGCGAGCACCTAAGGAGGCCCCTGGGGGAGGAAGGGCCGGAGTGGGAGTGTGTGTGACACCCAGCCTGGGACGCGAGGAGCCACAGCCGGCAGTGCAGCAAGCAGGGGCCCTCTGGGGCCTGAGGTGGGAACCAGGGGAGGCCAGCACTTCTAGACAGCAGCTCAGTCGCTCGCTCCACCTCTCAGAGTTCCTTTTCCAATATTCTCCCCGCATTGTCTGGAATCCAAATATTCCCACTTTTACAAGCAGCTTCCAGATAGCGGTGTGCAGGAGGCCGAGCCACACCGTCTTTGAGGAGGCAGGCGAGATGAAGATAAGACCAGAGAAATCCATCACACTGGCTTTTCAGGCCACACACCCTCTCTGGACCCTGCCGAGATTAAGATGCACGGTCCTCCGTTATGGGGGCCCACGAAGCCGGCACTCCTCAGCCACAGAAATGGAGCCGTAATTCAGCCCAGAAGCGGGGAGATAGCCCCCCAGATAAACGCCTAGCAGCTCTAGAGTGCTGGCGGCCCTGGGCGTCTGCCCCACTCCCAGCCCCAGGGCAGCCTGGGGAGGAGGGGTTCTGGAGGACCCCAGCCCCTACACGGCCCCCCACTCCCTAACACTTGCTTGGGCCTGGTGGGGGCGGGAGGCTAGACAATGAACTGAGGCAGCCCCTGAGGGCCACCTGCTGCAGCTCGGGGACCCTGGGGACAGGGCCAGACGGCCATGACATGTCTCAAGGGCCTTTGCCAAGCCTGGCATCCTTGTCCATAAAAGGACCAGGCCAGGGCCAGGCGCGGTGGCTCACACCTGTAATCCCAGCACTTTGGGAGGCCGAGGCGGGTGGATCACGAGGTCAGGAGACTGAGACCATCCTGGCTAACACAATGAAACCTCATCTCTATTAAAAATACAAAAAATTAGCTGGGTGTGGTGGTGGGCACCTGTAGTCCCAGCTACTTGGGAGGCTGAGAGAGGAGAATGGCGTGAACCTGGGATGCAGAGCTTGCAATGAGCCAAGATCGCGCCACTGTACTCCAGCCTGGGTGGCAGAGCGAGACTCCATCTCAAAAAAAAGGACAGGGCCAGTGGCCAGGTGTGGTGGCTCACAGCTGTAATCCCAGCACTTTGGGAGGCCGAGGCGGGGGGATCACCTGAGGTTGGGAGTTCGAGACCAGCCTGACCAACATGGAGAACCCTGTCTCCACTAAAAACACAAAATTAGCCAGGCGTGGTGGCACATGCCTGTAATCCCAGCTACTTAGTAGGCTGAGGCAGGAGAATTGCTTGAACCCAGAAGGCGGAGGTTGCACTGAGCCGAGATCCCACCACTGCACTCCAGCCTGGGCAACAAGAGCAAAACTCCGTCTCAAAAAAAAAAAAAAAAAAAAAAAAAAAGGATGGGGCTGGCCAGGGGCAGGGCTGTTCCACCTTCACCACACCAAGTTGAGGACAGAACCCAGGCTGGGGCTGGGGCAGGAGGAACTGAGGTCGTTCAGGCCTTGTCTGGCCACCCTAAGGGGTCAGCCCCTCTGCCCAGGAGCTCAGCGATGCTGCCTGTGGCCACGGGGTCACCTGCTCTACCTTCAGCCTCAGTTTCTCCCTTGTAAAGGGGACATACAACCCCTTGGGAGCCATGAGCTTCGGCCACTACTTGTGAAGCGCAGAGGGAGTTGGAGCACAGAGGCCTCAGGCACGTGCTGCTGCCGCGGTCCACGTGGGAGGTTACGTGCAGCCCTGCAGTGGTGCTGGGTGTGGGCCCTGCACCTTCAGGGCACCCCTGGTGCACCCCGGGGGCTGTGAGGCCAGCTCGCTGCCTTTCCAGCTCATCCACCCCATTTCTCTGCTCTAGCCCTTCCCCAGGGCTCCTGCACTCAGCCCCTCCAAGCCCAGCTTGGCGAGCTGCCCCTTCTGTCCTGCTCCCACTGCCACCCCCAGCACCAGCCCTTCCCAGTGCCCCTGAGCCCTATGGGACCCCTGCCCTGCCCCTAGGCACACCTCAGTCACAGGCCATGCCCAGACATCACCCACGGCTGGTCCTGGGGCCACAGTACACTGGACACAGGGTTCCAGTGTGCTACATGAACCGTGACAGGATCTGTGCAGCAAAGGGGGTTCCCCGCATGCCCCGAAAGCCCCTCCTGCCCTCAGCCTCCCCAATACCTTCAGCAGGAAGGTGTGTGCAGGGTCTCTGGAGGCTGCCGCCCTCCCACCCACAGCAGCCATCCTGCCCAGGGGCAGCCAGAGTCAGCCAGTGCAGCTTTCAAACAGGATCATAGCAAGAACGCCACATAAAAGCTCTAAATAAACCCCAAAAAGGAAAATGGAACTGTTTTACCACTGAATCAATTCACCTCTAATTTTAATGCTCTGAAAAGTATTTTCTCTTAATGACTCCATTATTTTATCATACGGTGAGCAATAAACTCCCTGCGCATGTCTGCCACAGCCACAGCCTCTCGGGTGTCTGCCAGGCAGGGAATCCTTTACAGGCGGCTCTGCGCACACACAGCACCTGGCTCTCGTTTAGTGGTGATTTTATAGAAGATTCCCCCATTTCGTGTAATATAAAGTCTAGAACTTAATTAGCCACCGCCAGCTCCTCGGGCTGCAATGGAGTAGGTGTGCTCGTGCACCCACAGACCACACACCATGACGAAGTCACCAACCATCTCCAGGCAGCGTCCCTGTGGCTGGCATGGTCAGCACGCCCCAAACATGAAGCACTCAGGACCCCAGAGGGCTCCTGGCCTCCCGCCTCGTAAGTGGGTGCAGGTTATTAATCCCCAGCTCCCTGATGGCTCTCCCACTGGGACATACACATCCCTCACAGGCAAACGTGATCCCCATCAGGGAGCTGGCGGTCTCGGGAATGACCTCGACGTGGGCTCCTGGGGAAGCCCAGGCGACTGTGCAAACCCTGCTGGCAAGGGCGCCGCCCTCCACGGTTTTCCAGGCCCCAGGGTGGGCGCGTGTACCGGCTCACGGTGGGTCTGCTCCAACTCCAGTGGAAAGAAGAGATGCCGAGGACGCAGCAGCAGCACCATACATGGGAATGGGGACAGCTGCGGGGGGCAGGGAGCACAAGTGAGGGACAGGGCCAGGGCAGGTGAGGCCAGACGGATGGACATGGTGATCAGGGTCGGACACAGTTCCTCCTACAAGAGCCTGCTTGTGCCCTTTGATCTCTGACATCTCTCTTGGGTGCTCCACATCGAGGGGCCCCCACTGCGCATCTGACCCCTCCTCCAGTAAACCTAAATTAATTCCTTATTGTGCAACCTGGACAACTGTACATGGCCAATATTCAGGGGTCCCAACAAACTGCCTTGTAAATCGGAGGCCAGAGCCTGGCTTCCCTGTGTGGTGCTAGGCAAGGCACTGCAGCTTACACATGATGCACACACGGCACACACGAGTCACACACACAGCACACATATGCCCCTGCTGCTCCCACCTGACACCGGGCACTTACCCACATGCCTTCTCCCCCAGACAAAAGAGCAAGGGAGGTGGGAGGGTAAACAGGGGGCATGAGTAACCTCACAGCACCCTAGATGCTAGGGGAACAGGCACCCGTGGGCCAGGTGCATGTGCACACCTGCCTGGGCATGAGCACAGCTGTGGGGTGTCTACGCAGGGCTCACACATGGGGCCCAGAAACCTCCTGTGTACTAAGATAGCTCGTTCAACATCTGTAGCATGAGGGGCACTCCTGGAGGGGTCTTGGGCAATTCTCGACCTCAGTGGCTATTGGCAGACTCTCCTCTCCCTGTGGGCCGGGAGGAGTCACAGAATGACTTTGTAACAGTGCGTTCTCCCTGCATTTACCCCAGTGGGTTCTACGGGCTGGGCCTTGTTGAAGTGAAATGGGCAGGCACTGGGCACTGGTGACAAGGCAGTGGCAGCACTTGGCCACACTCAGCCTCTGGGGGCCCCGGAGGTGCCTATGTCGTGGTCCTCCTCTTATCAGCCAGGAGACAACAGGGCTGCGTGCAACTTGAGTGCCAGGGAACTGGGAGAGTGGGGCTCACGTGGCACGTCTGCCCACCTCTGCTGAAGTCTGGGGCCGCACAAAGCCTCTCAGGGTTAGAGCTTGCTGGAGCCCCGCCAGGGATGTGAGACAGAGAGAGAAGGTGTGTGTGTGTGCACGCGTGTGAGACTCGGTGTGCCTGGTTGTGCACATGTGACTGCGTACGTGTGAAACACAGACAGGCGACGGTTCAGAGAAACTTCTGTGGCACACTTGAGCCAGGGGAGCCCCCTGCTTCTCACGCTCTCATCCGAGATCAGAAAGCTGTGGATGGGGTTGGTGGCTCCTCCAGGAGCTAAGCTCCACCTCCCACTCCTCAGTCTGACCCTGACCTCCCTCCCCAGCCCTCCCCAGCCCTCCCTCTCTCGGTTTTTTGTTTGTTTGTTTGTTTTTTCCTATCCCCACACTCCTCTCCTGTGGCCCTGGCTTCAGGCCCCTCCCCAGCAGAAGCTGCAGCAGCCCCAGTGCAGTGGTGGGAAGGGCCTGGGCAGACTTGGCAGTGCCCACTGTCCTATGCCCCTTGCCTGGCGCCCCAGCCTGGCCCTTCATGCCCACCCCATGCTGGGTAGGGAGGCCCCATTGTGAGCTGCTGCCGCCAGAGGCCACCAGGGCCCAGCTCCTGAGAGGGTTCTTCTCAGGCCTGTTTTAGTGACTTCCTCTGAACTTCTTGTGGCTGGCTTCGCCGTGGGATTGCAGAAAGACCCGAGAGCCCCGGGGAAGCTGGCATTGAATCACAAGCAATGGCACTTCCGGCACATCCAATCAATGTTGTTGTTCGTAAGAAATGGAAACAGGACGTGGCAAGAAAAAGCCAGTTTCAGGAACAGGGCTTCTCCCCTCAGGCTCCGGAAAGGGCAGGGAAAGTCTCGGTTGGCCCATGACTGGGACCCTGGAGTCCAGACCCGAGATCCCCACTCCCAGCCACAGGACATGGTCAACAGGTCCCTGCCTGGCTGCCCCACCTCTGGGAGCCCTCCTGCCACCCTGGCTGGCCTCCTGCAGGCTCTGAGTGAGGTCAGGCCCCGGGAACGAGGGAGGGGCTGCTCCTGAGTCCCCAGGGCCCTGGGCTGAGTGCACCCTGCTAAGCCTCCTTGGCCCTGCCCAGCTTCCTTCATGCAGAGCTGCTGGTGCACGTGCCCCAGAATGAGGCAGGCACTGCCCCACAGAGAAGGCTCACCCATCCCTTCCCTCTGTGTCCCAGGACAGGGCCTTGGCTGCTGCCCAGGATGTCCTGCAGCAGCCCCTCCCCCAGCCAGCCTGTCCCTCAATGCTCTCCAGCAGGCACAAGACCAGAGAGCCACATGCTCTGTGCTCACCCTGCACACCCACCCACACACCTCCCCCCAGACCTCCTGGTCCTCGAGCCTATGCTTCCCACAGCCCCTACCTGGTCATCCAGGCCAGCTGCCATGGCCCAGGAACCTGCATCCATCCTTCCCTTGGCCACAGTGACACCCAAGGCAGTGCTCACAGCTCATCCCTGCCCTCAGGGCCCCTGAGGGGTCACCAGTGCCACAGCCAGTCATGTCATGTTGCACTGACTTCCCCAACCAACCGCCTGGGGGCCAGGACTAGAGTTTTTCCTCCATTGTCCATGAATCATGGCTATCGCTGTCGCATGGGTTCCTGGAGGTCTGGACCACCTGCCACATGACATACTCAGCATGACATCACGAATGAAGCTCATGAGCATCATTTTCTACAGACCAGGAGTGTCCCAGAGCACTGGATTGCAAGAGTAGCAAGAAAGTGCCAGTGGCTGGAGCACTGCTGTCTCTCACAGTGACTGGGTGGGCCCCTCTACACTGAGGTGGTTGGGAAGGACATGCTTCCTAGACACACAGCACACACCCAGTGCCAGAGGATGTGGCGACTTGGTTCGGTCACGGTACCACATCTGGCGGCGCAGTTTCCATGTGGGCTGACTCTGGGTTGGGTTGGGTTGGGTTGGGTTCGTCCGTCACCATCGGCCATGGTGCTGCTGGGTTTTGTGGACCATGTGGGTGAAGAGAGTGGGAACAGTGGGGACAGTGGGATTGGCCATGCCTGTATCTTTTGAGTCTTTGGGGATGGTCCTAATTTCTGCAGATGCTCAGGATGTGTGGAATGACTCTCTTGGCCAGGGTCTTAGAAGCTTCCACTTATTTGTTTGGGTTTTTTTCCTGCCCAAATGGCTCATAATCATTAGGTCAAGGAACCAATGGGTGGGCTCTGCCAACTGCAGAGTACAGGCAGCTCCTTCCCTCGGGCACGAGAGGCTGAGGGTCCCAGGACCAATGCAGGGTGGGCTTGTCCCCAGGTCTCCGGGAGCCCTTACTCTGCCCACGGTGGTGTTCTGGGTCCCCTGATGTCACTGCCAGCTCAGAGCCTGTACCCACAGCTCTCAAGATTGGGAGTCTCCTGCCCAGCAAATAGTTTCTCTGGGCCCTGGACACTGACTTCTGCGCTTTCAGGCCAGCTGCTCCTCACATGGCAGAAAGATCAGGAGAACCTGCACTTCCCAGCGGGCCGGAGGGCTCCGGGGGCACCAGGGAGGGCGACACCAGTGATGGGCACACCTGGGCCAAGGGAACTTTGGGCACCCAGGCTCTGGGCCACTCAGAAACTGCCAAGCGGGCACCTGTGTGGACCAGAACTGTGTGCCTGCCCGGCCAGCCTAACCTTGCCGCTTTCACAGGGAGGCACACGGGAGCCCCTCAGAACCTGCCACGGCCCTGCAAGGAAAGCATTCCCCTGGGGCAGGAGGCAGCGACTCTCAGCCAGGCACTGACTGCCCAAGGTCGCAGAGCCAGGACAGGGTGTGGGCAGGGCCCTCCCTCCCCCCAGCTCTGGTGCCAAGCTCTTCCCAGTGTCTTGTGCCCCACGTCCCAGCAGCCGTGTGCAGGGCAGTCATGACCAAGTGCGGCACCCAGTGCCCTGGCTCTGAGCCCACTCCATAAGTTGCTGCCTCACGACCCTGCAAGGAGCTTCCTCCTACAGAGCCCCTGTCCTTATCTGCCAATGAGACCAGGCCTGGGGCTCAGGGGGCGGCGGGGAGGGAAGGGGAGCTAAGCCCTGTGAGGAGCTAAGCCGTTGCACACAAGCATGCATCCTGCCCGTCGAGCGCTTGGAGAGCACAGTTAACAGAAAGAGCCAACTCCGGAGAATATGGAGTTTTCTTCTGAGCCAGTATGAGTGACCGCGCCCCAGGAAAAAGTGCACACACCCAGGGAGCCCTGAGTGGGTGGTCCTGAGGCAGCCAGAGCCCAGCTCTGCTTCCTATGAGCTTTACTGTGACAGAATTTCAGGCAGTCATAATTCAAGGAGCTCCTACATCGGTTTAGCACAGAAAGGCAGGGGGTCTTGAAGCAGGGAGGGGACAGGTCATCAGTGGGGCCAGAGATTCTTTCACTTGCAATGAGTTAAAGAAGTAAAGCTTTTTCTATGAATGTGGAGTCATCAGAAACGAAAGTTTTAAGTTAAGATTAAGAAGTCTTTTAACCGAAACACTGGGTCACAGTGGCTTGTGGGGCGCGTGACTTGACCCTGGTCTGGCGGCCTTCGGTCCTGTTTGTAATTTGTGTCAGGGTCACAGTCTTCTGATCGCTAGGTTAACGTCGGTACTGGTCGGCCCTGCCTGAACTCCCGCAGGGAACCGGGAGAGCGAGGCGTGTCTGCCCTCCCGTCCCATCATGACTGGGAACTCAGTTTTTCCAGTTCCTTGGGAGTCCCTTTGGCCAAAGGGGGCCTGTTCAGTGGGTTGGGGGGCTTAGGGTTTTATTTTTATTTTACAGCACGCAGCACTTTTGCACACTGACAGTGTGGCCTGCACAGCTCTGGGCACATGTCCACAGATGTGTGGCATGCCTGCGTCACAGAGAATGCACGCTTCTGGTGTGAGAATGACACAGAGAATGCACGCTTCTGGTGTGAGAATGAGGCTGTGTGTGATGTGTGGGAATGCTCAGCCCCGGGCCTGCCGCAGCCAGGTCCCTGCAGTGGGCCCTCACTCCCAGAGACCAGGGATGGCGCCCACAGTGGGAACCTGGGCTGACCGGCTGCCCCCAGGACCCACATCTGCAATTGCCCCACTGAAACCCAGACAGACCCCCACACGGCCTCCCCTCCGAGCACAGGACCCTCAGCAGGTCAGGGTGGTGGTGGAAGGATCTCCCGGCCCCTCCAGCCAGGCCCTGAGATGCTGCTGGAAAAACAGCTGTGACAGGCAGCTCCAGGAGCCCCGGCTCATATGGCTTATGTACGGCCCCCCAGCCAGCTGGCTTTCAGGAAGATACCGACTTTATACACAAAATTTATCATTGTAACAACGGCTCCTGTAGAGCGAGGAGGACTTTTACAGCCTCTCGGAGGTCATGAATAATGGAGGAGAAGGAAAGGGGCCGCTTTGGTTAGTGTTCCGAGGGGCCCAGAGGCCCCCATTATCTCGGCTGATGGGAGCAGCAGAGGCCCCAGCAGCTATGGTTCTCACTCGCAGAGACCAGTGTGGTCATCACCCAGGGCCCCCGCCACACTCGGAGCTGGGGGGAGTGTCCATGCTTCCTGTGTTCTTAATAAGGGCTCTGACTTGGTGACGGGGTGACCATACATGGCCCTGTCAAAAGGCCCTGCCTCAGTCTGAGAATGACAAGCTGCAGGCTCCCTGGTAGGGGCCTGGACCTCCCACTCCGGGCTGTGACCTGGGGCAGGACTCTAGCTGCATCCACAAGCCGGAAGAGCAGCATATCTCCAGGCAGCCACATGTCAGGGGCCAGTGAGCAGACACCGGAGCCAGAGCGTCACAGGTCAGCCCCACACGCCCAGAGTCTTCTCCCCCATCCTCCTACCTCCCTCCCCACCTGAGCTCTGTGGGGCCCTGAAGAGTCCCCAGAGGCACAAATCCTTCTTTGCTTGCCTCTAGTGACGGGGAACTCACTATCTCACTGTCGGCTGTTCCTCCTGTGGGCAGCTCTGCCTGGTGGGAGGTTCTCCCCACTAGCCCCTGCACAGAGCAGCTTGTGCCTGAGGAGCCCCAGCCCAGATTCCAGCTCTCACCCAGAGCATGCGTCAGCCCCTCTAATCCCAAACCCACACTCCTCCCTCATTTCCCCCATTTCCTCTCCTCCTCTCCTGGACTCCACCCTCAGGCTTCACTCCCATCAACCCCCAGGGTGCCCGGGCCGAGCCTACCTGTGACCACCACGTGGCAAATCCTGTGGGGACCTCACTCCTTGTCCATCCTGACCTAGCACTGGCTGAGTGTGCCAGCAGCAAAGACCTATTCATGTGGCCTCTGCTGGCCCTGGACTCACCTGCCACCCCAACCCCTGCCTGCCCTCTCCCACCCCCATGCCTTCTCTCCAGGGCCCCCTCACGGTGATCACGGTTTATGGGGCCTCTCATGACCCCATCAGCCACCATCCCCACCCAGCTGGAGACCCTCGACCAAGCCCTGTCAGGGAGTTTCCAGCGGTCATGAAGCAGCTGACTACCCACTGCAGAGACGAGCACTGCGAAGACGCGTTCCCACTGCAGCAGAGGGAGCTGGGCTCAGGACGGCCTCAGCTGATGGGGGTGCAGCCCTGAGCCCTGGAGACGCCTGGAGAACCTTTGGACCCATTTCCACCACAAGCCCTGGTGCTTCAGTCAGCACAGCCTGTGCGAATTTCCCCCTAGGCTGTATGCCAGACAGGGGAAGGGCCAGCTTCCAGGCCTCTGTGCAAGAGCGCCATGGCCAACTCTCACCCCCGGGCCAACGCTGGCCTGTCTTAGGCCTGGGGTCCTTCTGCTTCAACCAGCTGTGGACCCCATCCCCATCTCCCGGACCCACCAGCCCTGTCTTCTCTGGCCTAGGTCAGCCTAGAGCCTCCACACCCTCCAGTCCCACCCCCTGCCCCTGCCTGGAGCCACGTATGAGGCCATGCTGAGGCCCAGGGCTCTCTGCATTCCAACCAGACCATGGTCCAGAGAGGGCTGGGAGTCTGGGCCAGCACCACATGGCCATGACCGGAGTAGCCACAATCACCAGCCCTGCAGTCTCCGCTCCCACGTGCCACCCCACCCCACCCCAGCCACCTTCCAGGACCACCCCAAGGAAAACAGCCCAGACCAGCCAGCTCGCTGGACTTTCCCAGCACTCAGGACCGCCCAGTCACCGGACATGCTCCACCCTCCCGCTGAATGACAGCTGGCCTCCGCTGCTGTGTCCCCGGGGCACTGCTCAGGGTGGGTGCACCACAAAGACCTGGGGAGGGTGGGGCATCCCATCATTCCCAGCTCACGGGGAGAGATGAAGGTGTGGCGGGGATCACCTGGCTGAATAGTGAGAGCCGGGCCCAAACCTGGGCACCACGTCGTTGGCACCACTGCCCGTGGGCACATGGGCCCACCTGCTGGCTGCGGGCAGGACTGACACAGCCGGGCTCCTCCCTGGCACTTCCTGGCACAGGCACCGGGGACCCTCTGTGGACCCGGCAGCTCAGCATTCCCCTGGGCCGGCCTTATCTGGCCTTGCAGAGCCCAGGCTGGAGTGAGGCGCAGTGGACGGAGGCGAGGAGGGTGCAGCCGAGCCCTATCAGATAAGGCCAGAAATACGACCCTGCTGGGACCTGAGCCCCAAGCCGAGCCATCAGCTCGCTAATAAATTACACGGAGCCGGTGTCCACAGGGGCAGCCCGCATCACCTTTCCAGGGAGCACAGAGAGGGGGCAGCACCCAAGGTCTGTGGGCTGGCCGTTCCCTCCCTTCTGTCAACGAGAAGGGTCAGGAAGGAGCTGTCCTGGAGGCCCCCGCCCTCAGGCGGTGCAGCCTGACCTCTTAAATCCAGGAGGAGCAGCTCCAGCCCTGGGAAGCCAAGGAGAGGTTCCCAGATCAGGCACAGGCGGGAGAGGGTTCTTGTCTGGCTCCAGGACCTCACTCTTCCCAGGAAGCCAGGCTGCCAGCAGGACCATCCAGCCTTCCTCAGTGCTGTCCCTGGAACAAGGGTCAGTGCACCATGGCCCTCCTGCCAGTCTGGCCCGCCCCGTTCGTGTAAACACAGAGCGCACTGTATGCCATATTCCCCTCTACAAGAAAAGTTTGCTCTCCCCGCCCTGTACTGAAGACAGCGGCAAAGGGAGTGCCAGTCCCCTGAACCCCGCCCCGATGGCCGCATTGTGCATGCTCAGATGGTGGGTTCCAGGCCACTGTGCCCAGGCAGTCTCTGTGCACACTGTCCCCCAGCCTGGCACACCCTGGGCTCCCGGGGGTCCTGTAGCTTGACCCAAGGGAGATGCACCCCCACTCCTAAGAGAGCAGCATGGGTCTCTCCACACCTCCTCCAGCAGTCCCCTCAAACAGGTCAAAGTCCCACAAACCAGGCAGGGGTCTGCCCACATGTGCCCTCACCAGCCTCTTTCAGGCCTGCCTGTACGTGCACCAGCAGACGGGGGGGGGGGCTGGCAAGGACGGGCCGCCAAGCCTGAGCCGGGCTGCCACCTCTGGGCTGTGTGACTTTGGACAGGGTGCCTCAACTCTCTGAGCTGCACTTTCACCTACAAATGAGGGGCAGACTCAGCAGCTGCCAGGCAGGGCGGTTGGACACCCACCCGGGACAGACCCTGAGAAAGGCTGATCCCTCGCCCCTGCCATTCCTCACTGACCCAGACATTGCCCCCTCCTGCCCAGGCAATATCAAGGCTCGGCCAGTGTGCCCCAAAACAGCAGTTTGGGACCCATTCTTTGCCTCTCCCTCTGGCAACCCCAGCTCAGGACTCACAGGGGCACAGGGACACAGGGGCACAGGGGCCAGGGTGGGGCGGGCACCCTCTCTACTGTGGAGGCCCCATGCTAGGTCAGGGTCTTACTGGAGGCTGGACTCTGTGATCACCTCACCTCCCACAGCCCCACAGTGCCCTCCC